GGGCGACAGTAGGCGATTGACAGCATAGACATTCTATGGAGTTGTCTTCCGAGTGGGGAGTCCCCACTCCAGGTGCTGAAAGACAGAGACAGAGACTCGGGTGAAAGCATCTGTCTCACTCCGAAGTTTGACTCACTTCCCCTCTCACACGCGCAGTCTATTTCTTATACGTCTATGTAAGAAACTACAATGGCATGGCCGCTCTCAGGCTTCTCTCTGATAATACAGAAGAAGCTTCCGAGCGTACTACTCTCTCACGCGTCGACCTATGGTGAGGACAGAGAGAAAATTAAAACAGCAAATAGAGTTATTCATGTTCATGTTTTGNTTATGTTTAGGTTTGAGAAATCATAAGGCGTAAAAGACGCAATTAAAAGAATAATTTTGTTTAGAGAATAAGGTTAAAGAAAAATATCGAATTAATTTGGGTTTTTGATATATATATTGATTATTTGTATTATAGATTTTGAGATTTGGTTTATATGGTCGAGCCACAGCATAAAAGCCGGGTGTAATAATTCTGAACTATAGATGGTTCAAGAAAGATCGAGAAAATTGTAGAGTAATTTGTTATTATTGAGATTGTAATTGAAGAAGACTCAGGAATATTCTGGAAACAACGAGAATAGGCTCGGTTCTACGGGAAAGATTATCGAAAGAGAACTTATGACAACAGCCATACGATCGGGTCAAAACAAAAATAGAATAAATGCCAGAAAGTTCTAAATCCAAACTCGAGAGCGAAAGTACGAGAAGGTCCGAGTGAAAAGTACGAAAGAAGGAGCAACGAGCTATATAAGGCCGAAGTGAGTCAAGTCAGTTAGTCAAACCAAGTCAAGTAGTAAATAAGAACCAGCAGAGCTGAAAGTTACCAACCAGAAACCTAAATCGGGCTAACTCAATATTTTATTTGGTGTCTTAAATTAATAAATTGCGTCGTAATCGTAATAAAGAAACGGGTTGTAAAGCGTGAGCGAAATTGCGGCGGTATGTCGAAATAAGCGGTCAATTGTAATCTTTTGTGTATATGGACAGGAGTGTGTAAATTGAAATAAATCAAACAAAATTATAAATCAAAGTGATGATTTATTGAACATTTGCGCCTGAATCCCCGGGACCGCACAGTGTCGCAATCGAGTAGCTTGATTGGTCAAAACAGGCAGCGCCGTATCGACTGAGGGCTGATTGGTCCGGACCAGCCAATAAGCAGAGGCACACATCGATTCTATTGGTCACCTTCCAAAAGCCACATCGGTAACGAAGAGATTGGTCATGTCTAGCAGGTATCGTGTGTCGAACCAATCGAAGGTAAGTACAGCGAGATTGGCGACAAGCACGACGATAAGCCCGTTGTGATAAGTTATCAATGCCTCAACCTGGTGATTAACCAGAAAGAATCGTGCGGCTGACAGCCAATTTTTTCACTTCTAGATAAGTTTTCGATAACTTTATCTAGAAGATATCTCTCAAAATTGATTTTTTTTATTGATTCTTAGAGGAATTTATCCAGAGAATAGTTATCGAGAGGTATGAAGAAATCGGCCGTGAGTGATACGCTTCGACAGCAAGATTAAAATCGACGTGACAGATTTGTTAGACGTAAGTGATTTACATGAAAACTTGTCGGGGGTATAGATATAAACCGACTGGCAACCGTGATAAGGCCTGTTCTACAATACTGTCGTAAGCTGTAAGTCGTAAGAAATTGACCAATCACAATCAATTATTCTTCTGTAATTAGTCTGTGATTGGTCAATTTCTTACAACTTACAGCTTACGACTGTATTGTAGAACAGGCCTAAAAAACCTCAGTAAAAAGAACAAGCCAAACTGCAATAAAGTGCAACTTCGGTCACATGATGTACTGGATCTAAAAGTAAGAGCCAATCATGTTTGACTGCTACGAAGCGGTCCTTCTGCTAAACGCAGCAACGTCTCTGGTGCAAAATTCGGGAACTACGTAGTGCTTCGTGCCATAGACGTAGAATGTATAGACTGCGCGTTCCCTACTTTTGCCCATATATGTAATACTTCTATATTGCTAGTACGGTGCCGACCTGAAGCTCACCGTTACGGTGCAGACAATATAGTAGCCTCTCTCTCCAGCTGCTTTGTGCGCATGCGGTGAACATTCAAGCACGCTTGCGCATTTCTCTTTCTCGCGTTCTTTCTCTCACTTTCTAATGCTTTGTCTCGCTTGCACTCACTTGGTAGATGCGCCTGCGCATAATGACACTCGACCATCTATGCCCATATTTGGACTTCGTGCGTCTCCCTTTCTCGGGCCTCGTGCCTCTCATTGCGAAGATACGCGACTAGCAATATAGGAGTATTACATATATGCTTTTGCCATGTTAAGAAAATGTCTTCAACATTGAGAGAGACAGCTGGTGTTGAACAGTAGCCTCATCTTTGTCTTAGCGAAGTAGTGGGGGAAAAAGAAGTCTTTGCTGATTGATAGAATAGTAGTGGAAAAGTGGGGATAGAAAAATAGTGGGAGTGAAGAAGAGTGAAAGAGATTAAGGGGTGATAGCAAGTTAGGGTTGGTTTATAATAGCCGTAACCGTTAACTTAGGCCATTGCTGTAAAAGTTGAAAGATAGGAAGTACGTACTTCTGTTCATAATTAAATTACGAACAGGAGTACGAGTTTTCTATTTTCCAACTTTTACGGCACCGGCGTAAGGTAACGGCTATTATAAACCAACTCTTAGGTGGTATGAAACAGTAGGTCCTGATCCTACCACAGACATTGATAGACAGAGAAAGAGTTACTATTCAAAGTATGTTGTCTCTGTCAACCAGAAAGACGTCTTTTCAGCCAAACGCGCAGTCTATATATTCTACGTCTATGCTTCGTGCATAGTGTTTTAAAATGGTTTTAACAGGTCAAAGACTGGCCATTGCCTAAACCTTCCAGGGGCACGGTGCCATAATTGCAAAGAAGAAGAAATGTTTTAACAAAAAAACGGAAAGATAACCTTTGTGTCTACAATTTATAGTTTCAATACTTTCTTTTCCTGCAAGCGTTGAAAGTATTTTTTAATACTTTTGTAATATTCTTACAGGTTCTATCTGGCGCGCCAAAGTATGTTTTGTGACATATAAACTGTTAAATCTGTAGACATACTTGATAATGTAAGATAGTCAATTTTCTTAATTAAACATTTTTTTGTTTCATAAATATTTATTTTCTCCCGCGACTCGTTACACTGTCTTCTTTTATTGTGGAGAACCGTTTTCTCATTTGTGCAGTACATTTGACAAAAGTCATTATTTTGACATTTTACTATTTTTATAATAAAACAGGACGGTCCAGCATCCTCTTAACAAGCTCTCTGCGATTGTCGCTTGTCATTGGGTGCGTTCAGACAACCCAACAGTTGCACAACGGTTGAGAGATAATCACTTCTTATTGGATCATACTTTTGGAACCGCTGCAGATTTTGAAGAATATTCCTATCATAAGTGATGATCTCTCAACCGTTGAGTTGTCTGAACGCACTCATTGGCATATACATTTTTATATATCAAATAGATTTACAGGAAGAGACAAATCACAGACGCAATTAGCGCAAAACATTTGCTAAGCGCTGAATGTAGTCATTTGTGCCATAGCAAGCTCTTCAAACGCAGCTTAAAAGTGTAAGATGTACACTTTTTGTAAGCAAGAACAAACTTTATGCAACATATTTATGCTCATTTGTTCGCCTCTGATGAGAGAGATTTTGGCGTATGGACTGGCTATAAAGGTCCAAGCAGCCGTAAATGCACTACTTCCGATGAATTTTCGATAACTTTATCTAAAAGATAAGACATATCTCTTTGAATATCTTTATTCAAAGAATAGCTATCAGGAGGTGGGAAAATCGGGCCTTAGAATTAGAAGCTTTGTATAAAATTGATTACAGCTTACGTTAATTGCTTATATTAATTCAATATTGTGTGAGTAATTATTTACTTTAACTATCTCACTACAAATTCTGATAAACTTATCCAACAAAACGTGGTCATCTATCTGACAAAGTGAGTTATTAAGTGTTACAGTTAGAACATTCTATTCTATTATTTAAGTAAATTGGAGATAGTTATATTAATTTTTGTACATATGCATTTTATTAACTTTACATGTACATATATACACATTATATGTGTATATATATAGGATGGGAAAAAGAAGAAATATCCAACTTTCACCAATACCAGATCGAATAAAAATGGAAATAAAAGATGAAATAGGTAATAAGAAGAATACTTGAACTATTAAGTGTGTAATAATATTTAAAAAGTTCGAATTCAAAAAATTGATAATTGTTTATGTTAATCAGTTCAAACATACTTTTAATATGGGGTATTTAGGTGATAGTGATGTCCTTGTAGCAAGAGATCGCTTAAAAGGTGCTCTTCGAGAATTGTTACAGCATAGTGACACAGGCTCATCAGCAGACTCAAGTGAAGAATGTTCTACTCAGGATTATAAACATCCAATGAAAAAAATGTGAGATTTAAACTTTCTTATTACTATATACAATGATCTAGTCAAAATATAGTTGACTTTTTGTAATTTGTAATAAGCAGGACAAAATCTGTTATTTCTCAACAACCACAACGAAAAATCAGACGTCGCCGACAAATGCAGGCTGACACAACATATCATCATACTTATGTGATGAAATTATTTGATCGTAGTGTTGATTTAGGTCAATTTCAAGAAGAAATGCCACTTTATCCTATTTGTCGTGCTTGGGTAGTCAGTCATCCAAAAAATCCTAATGTGCTTCTTAAGTAAACAAATCATATTATTTAATGATTATGTTTCTATTTATATAAATTATTTATATTACAGTTAAGGAGTTACACTCTATAGTTTTTGTGTTTGTATATAAAAGTGAAATAAAAATATTGGTTTGTACAGAATGAGTTCAAATCCAGAAGCTTCTAATGAAAGTATAGGAGGCAATGGTCTTAGTGGAGAGATAAATGAAGTCCATTATTTGCCACCTCCTTTGCCTTCTGAAGAAGAAATATCCAGAAATCGCATTCCATCTCCTATACTTGAAGAGAAAGATGATCTAAACTTGGATTATGTAAGTTAATATTTTCAACAAAATTTCTTATATATAAATGTTCAGGACCATAAAGTTGTAAATTAAGGATATGTATATAGCATATTTTTTGCATTGATTAATTTTACATTGATTAGCTTTTTTTATGCCATGTAAATTATTGTAAACATCAGCTCATTAGTCACTTTGTTTATGTATGTTTGAACAAATTACAGGAAGGACAAATTCTCAAATCGCAAGAAGAGTTGTTAAAGGAACACAGTGCTCGATGGAATGCTATTCGCAAAAAATGGCATCAGCAAGCACAGAAGAATGAACAACGCTATATACAAAGCGCTACTATACTTAATAGTATTTTTTATGTTGATTAATATATTGTGTTTACTGTATGTGATCTGAAATGATTTTCTGATATTCCGAAACAACCACTATTTAAAAAGTACAAATATGATAAAATTAAATAACTAATAATAATTTGGCAACTAAAAACTAATAATTTTTTAATACTATATATGTATCTTATACTATTAAGTTCTGTATTCCTTTACTTTTTAAACAAATGTGTGTTTATTTTAACTAATGTTATTTTATACATTATACGCACGTTCTTTTTATTCTGACGATTCTTTCTATTTAAGGTGATCAAATTCTCGATCGTCAATTTTGGGATATTATATGTTTGATTTTAAAGATAAAGAAGAAAAATCAAGAGTAAAATGGTCAAGGCAATGAAAACTATTACATTTCTATGTATTTTATCACTGTTATGTGTGCAAAAATCAAGGTTGGGTAGTGTCTAGTTAAAAAGATAAAAGTAAAAAAGTTAAAAGGTTAAATAATTTTACCTTTATCTAGTTACATTTTTAGCATATATGTAATACTCCTATATTGCTAGTCGCGTATCTTCGCAATGAGAGGCACGAGGCCCGAGAAAGGGAGACGCACGAAGTCCAAATATGGGCATAGATAGTCGAGCGTCATTATGCGCAGGCGCGTCTACTAAGCGAGTGCGAGCGAGACAAAGCATTAGAAAGTGAGAGAAAGAACGCGAGAAAGAGAAATGCGCAAGCGTGCTTGAATGTTCACTGCATGCGCACAAAGCAGCTGGAGAGAGAGGCTACTATATTGGGTGTGTTTAGCCGAAGTTAGCGCTACGTAGCGCTACGTAGCGCTAGCTTCGTCTAAACACACCCATTGTCTGCACCGTAACATGTGGCTTCAGGTCGGCACCGTACTAGCAATATAGGAGTATTACACAGTGCCGGACTAACGCATAGGCAAACTAGGCACTGCCTATGGGCCCCCACCAACAAAAAGGCCCCCACCAACAAAAGAAAACTTAAAAAAAAAAAAAAATTGTAAATAAATTCTAAAATAATCGATTTTGAATATTTCACTATTAGTTGTTTAATTTATCAATTAATAGTCTAACAATAAGATACCATGGATTATTTGTATTATAAAACTAATTTTGCGATTGTAACCCTGATTTAAAAAGCGTGTTAATAGCGGGAATATTGTAGAATATTCGGCTATTTTATTGACTTTAGATAATATATCTACGTCGTTTGCTTTCCACCTGAAAAGAATGGCGTCAAACGATTCCTGTAATATGTTTGCTTCTTTAATTTAAGTCGTGTATTGGTAACAGTGAACTCTATATACCCCACTGGAATGCGCATTAAGGAAAATTCATGGCACAAATTGATTAGCGCCAGTTTTATTTGTCCGAGTATTTGAGCGAATCAGGGCTGCGTTCCGATATTCACTGCCAGTATTGTAGACGACGCCTAATGATGCTTGTTAGGCGGAAACAGCCCTGGCTAGTCGCGATCTTCGAAATATCTCTTATTCTGATATTATAGACGATTTCGCTGAGAAAAAATCACGTAAAGTATTAGTATAGTCATATCGTATTATAGAAACAATTCAATGAATCAAACCAAAAATATTGCCAAACTGTGTATGTAAGTTTACACAGTAGTTAGTATATACTATATTTATTGTATATGTATAGAGCACATGGTATATGTATTGATTAAAATTGTTTAACTCTTCTGAAAATAAATTCAAACAAAAATTAGATACATGTCTTT